TTTTCTTGCTGCACACGAAGGGATCTAAAGTTATTACTGGACGCTACACAAGTTAGCCGAATAACCACTCATCTAGTTTTTGTGGTTGATTTTCGTTGATTCCACTTTAATCAAAGTCTAACTGCCTTGTCTGTCGTCTTTTCTGATTTTAGTGGAATAAATACTTTAGATGTTGTATGTATGTGCACAAGTACCTATAACAAAACTTTAATAAGTATCATAATGCGAGTTTTAACTATGTACCAAAGAAATCGGCATTTATTGCAGAAAAGTATATCGTGAGCGCTATGATCTATCCATTATACTTCTATAGTCATTTCAAAGTTACATATTTGTGCACAAGTTACATATTTTACAAGTTACATATTTGCTTGCGTATATAGTTTACAAGTTTCTTTCTGAAGTTGTACAATTTCTAAATTTCTTGCTGCGCACCAGTTTTAGGTCCGAAAAAATATGCTACATGCAACTAGTCAAAGATGCCATGTTGAATTTAAAGGTCGTAAAGTCGCAAATTCCGTCTAAAAACAGCGTCTACTTATTAGAAAGTTCGAGTTGTTTTTTTCCGAAATTGTAGCACATGGCCGCATGTACGGTCGCTGCATATGTACAGTGCATCAAAAAAGTGAGTACTGTATTTTTGCTTCGCTTAACTTCTCATAAAAAACCGCATCCGGAATAAATACAAACAGAAAATACCGTAAATAAAACTTGCAAATCATGCAACATGTACAAGTTTTCACCAGTTTGGCAGACCGGAAGGCCCATGGCCATTTTCCAGAACAGGTTATACATCCATTATAATCTGTCCGAGTATCCGACTGGCTGAGAGAGGAATGGATTTAGAGGGTTTTTTAAGTGACCCCCCTCCTCCGACAGACCTTCCGTATGACGTCATCTGCCATGCCGTAACGAAGTCATGGGCGGTCGCCGGTCGCCGCCAGAAGTTGATTCTTAGTAACACGGCTTGGTCGAATGGTGTGCTTACGGAGCTCACATCAGTACATGAATGTGATACTGCATGTATTTTGTACGAGATGATCAACACTGCACATCAAGTCATCAACACCGGTAGACCGTAGTGATGATGCTCAATGTAAAATTGTGCATCATCCGTGACCATTGCGGCAATGGGCAACTCTTTTGTCAAGACTTCTTCAGCAGCTGAGTCAGTTGGAATTGCGTATAGCTGAGTTTCTGTGTTGCTGTGGTGATATACAGAATACATCGTCGATCCACAGCAATGCGTCGTTGATTTCGCCACAACTATTTTAAATGTGCTATAAAATGCTTTCAGTTTTACGTTTCGTGGTCTGGTGAATTTCCGACATGGTGAGACCGATTATCCGAATAACGAGGGTGCCGCGACGCTCCGGAGCCGGGATGCCAAACGACAGGACGCCGAGATCCCCTCGTTCCGAGACGCCTCCAGCTCCATCCACGGCATCATCCGCATCGAACAGGACCGCTAGACAACCAGACACTCTCGTTAGTAATCGGATGGAGGGGATGTCAGAAAGTGGAGTTTCGACGACCGACGTGCAGTTTTCAATCGGGCGATTTTTCGGCCCGGCAAAGATCTTTGGAGCGCATAAGTAAGTCATAATTTAATATGCAGCACGTCGCTCCACAATTTCATTATAAAATCACTCGTGGGATAAAATGGAAATCCTTGATGGTTTAACAGGTCCGTTCTAAGCAGCGCAAGCGATGTCTTCCACAACATGCTTAACGGCAGTCAGCCAGCGACAGGTGATGGCCCAATCGACATCCCCGATATTCTTCCGGAAGCGTTCGCAAATATGTTAAGGTACGTACTCCGTCGTTCCATACGCAACATGACCGTCGTTCATTTCTCCAGTGCCCCGTCCAATTAGGACGTTGTCATTGTAATAGGTATATCTACGCCGATGCGCAGAACGTAGCAATAAAGGACGCTTTCCCCACAATGATGTGCGCTGATAAATACGGCCTGCCGTTGCTGGTTGACAAATGCTTTAACCTCGTCCTCGATGACCTCAGTGCAAAGACCGGCGATGCTAATCGTTACTTGCTGCATCTGGATAATGTAAGTGATGCCAATGTAGCTTTATTAAGTATCATAATGCGAGTACAAACTATTTACCAAACAAAACGGCATTTACAAGAGAAAAACTTCCTCTATGCTATACTGATCGGGGATCGTACCCATTGCACAAATCGCGTTTCCCCGTTGCACTTGAGTAGATGCCAATGCTGACGTCGTTGTGAATAACGGTTTCCTGCTGGCTTCACTCGGTTTTTCGGTAGGCGCTTACGTGGGCTGTCGGTATCGGAAATGTCGTGGAAACCTGCTTGCACTTCGTGGACGTGCACTGTGTGGAGATCTTCAAATCGGAACTGTTCATTGAATTGCAACCCACGACCCTGCAGATGATTTTGGAGCGCAAAACGCTGTTTGTCGAGGAAAGCGTTATTTACGTGGCCGTAAACAGGTGAATACCCAATTAGAAATTTGATCCATTCGCGCTTGTATGTACGAGATACATGTTTCAAATCGTTCATACGAGCAATACGGTTTAAGTGCCCGGCTAGCTATTGAAAAGGGGAAGTGACTGATTTCTAAGTTTTCCCGTCCAAATCGACTTCTTCCGGGAGTTATGATCTTCCCGTCGCACGAACGTGCAGTGTGGAGCATGTTTTTCGTGCGTACCATGTGCGATTAGCATCAAAACACTTACGTATGCACATATTCATGACCATCACGAGCGTGCTAGAAATAAATGCACCTGTGCTTACTTGAGCGGACGGATTCGGTTGAGTTACAGATGCCCACTGTTATCAGGAAACAAAGTGTTGTGAGTCGTTTAATGCTTATTGACTCCAACAATATTATGCCTAACAAACTAGTGCATGGATCGTTATTACCCATGCGTACATAACATGGTTTTTCTTTTTGCAATGCTTTCTACAAATATTTATGAGTATCAACTGCACGCTTACTAAACCAATGTACGGTCTAAAGTTTGTTATTACATTCGAGAAGACTTTAACCGGGTTGTGTGCCAAGAAAATCTACAAACCCTATTAATAACATTTATATGGAAAGACAGTTTCATATGTTTCGGATGAGTGGCTCACAGATAACCGCATATGATTCACAGGAGTGCATGTCGGTTCATGCAAATCGTTTACAGAGCTGACTGATAACGCCTAGGCAGTTATAACTTTATCTCGTTCGTAACGATTAGTGCCGTGGTTTGGCAAATTTTGTTCGAAAATACAAAAACTATACTTTAGCTGCCAACTGCCAAGCACCGGTGGCTGTCGGCAGCTGGTTTACATAAACATACAAACCTGCATTTTTACTGGCCAAAGCTCAGCTTGGCCCAAGCATTTGAATACTCTTATATAACATTATTATGTTTTACTAAATATTTTTCCATCATTATAACTTTTAAAAAAAACGAAAATACTGAAGTTGATACACGCTCATGCATCGTCATCCTGAAAAACTGTAAATATACTGTGAAACTGTGATCTAAAGAGCGATGTGTGTATAGATTACAGAGAATACGCACAATAACCGAAATATGACTTACGGACTTCTGTATTCTGAAAGCAGCTAAAAAATAAGTAGACACTGTAAATGAAAGTCGGCATGTGTAATTTTTCACACGCGCCATAAAATACTAACCGATTACGTTAATTACTTGAAAAACTTATTGGCCTTGTATCTGTAAATTAAACTGATTCCTAATCATGGTAAGCACAAAACCGAAACGGTCCGCCTTTATCTGCAGTAGATACTGCTAAATTCTAAAACAACTGTATGTTTATAAACTTATGATCAGTGCAAAATTAAATTATTTCAAAAGCGCAAGTACCTGGTATACCGGCGGTAAAGTTGAACTCATCTCATTAAATACAGCTCGATATATTGATACTTAACATATGTGCCTATATTGGTATGGCTATATGACATATGTATACTGTATGCTATATGACATATGTACACAGTCACAGTATACATGTACTTACAGTATATAAAGAAAACCGCCGAAGTAAGTACTGTAATACTTTGTTTATTTTTTAATTTTTTAATACTTTGTTTCCTATTTCTATTCATTAATATGATTAATTAACAGAAGACATTAAACAGTAATGGCTGACCTCCCATAGCAGACGCGCACGGACGCGTACATGATAGTATTACTGTTATCAAAAAAGCCTCTTATCAGGATTTCACACGGAATCGCGTCGCAACGGCTGAATGCGCCAAGTTCAACTGTGCGCGCGGCAAAGTTGTCAGTGTGGTGAAAACCCAAAACTTGATATTTCACTCGATCGCAAGCTTCATACCGCGCTGCACCACTAAATCTTGATTTCACTGGTCTTACGTTTCCAATTAATAATCATCGGCGGCAGCTTATATGGAACTATTTAATTTATTGGGATAACAACCGGGAGCATCAGGCTGTGTCATTGCGTCTTTAGGCAAAGATTTTGAAATCGCTTGAACAGTGCAACCGCATTTTATTACGAATTGATGCTTGCCTGCGAATGGCTACGATACTCGTATTTCTTTGTTTTGGCGAATTGTTGCACGGTTACTGTGCGCATTGCACCGTTATGAATCTCTGATTGCTTCACAATCGAACCGCACGTTTAAATTTTAATGCTAATCAAGCCAAATTGGAGTGAATGGTTTGTACAAACCATCCACAAAGAAACCCGCAGCTGTCTGCAGAATGCAGTGAGCAAAAATTCTTTTTCCAGGAAAGGATGAATATAATTTTGCCCAAACTGTGATTAATTAACTGTTCGATGACGGTGTCAATTTTGTATCAGCCGAAAACTATTGCATCATTTTACACATACACCACAGCTACCGAATCCAAATCTCCCTGCTGATTAATAAAGAATAAAAGCGCCTAAACAAATGAATCCACACAAGCGCATTAAAATTACTAGTATCGTACTACAGAATACATATACCGGATAATATAATATTTGGAATACAACCGCAATTAATTTCATAAACGATTGGGAGGCGGGGACGGCACAATTTGTACCGACAAAATTATTACCTTATGTCGGATTACGACAAAAACTTCCAGGACAAATTTTGTCTTTTTCAAGACAAAAAAACACTGATTTAAGGGTGATTGTGATTCATACGTTTTCCGTATGAGTTAACGTCTAAATAGATGTACCGATATTACTATGATTCATAATTTTATTATTGATGGGGAAAGGTCACCCGAATCGGTCTAATGATTCTTAGCTGAGGCAGAACGAAACAAAGGTCACCCTCACTTCCCGTACCAACCCAAGATCAACGTACATCTCCCGCATACACATGTTGATATTAAAAAATTTAAAACAAATTTTGGGATTACGGAACGTTTTGAGCTATGAATTTTGCACATAACGAATGGACAACCCATAGATCGTGCCAGCGAATTAGCGAAGTTTCTGTTTAGATGGGCTGCAGCAGCATGCACTCGGAACAAATTGTATCCTACACCGCAAAACCGGCGCCAGGTTTTAGGAGACATTTTGTCCCTTATCAGATTCCCATTGATGACCGTTACCCAACTCGTCGACGGCCCCTTGAAGGTAAGGCGGTGCGGCTGTTTGTTTTTGACAAAACAGAAACACATCTGCAATAACATGCACTGCCATGCGTGCTACTGCTAAAAATACTTCACATGTACATGTACGTGAAAAATTTATTTCAAAATTGAATTAATATTAAACGGGACTGTCTCTTTTAAATTCTTTCGATTTTAACTTCACATTTCATATTTGAAACTTTTATATGCATGCACAGGATACGTTGTTACTGCCATCAGACTTCACGGACATTTGCCGCCACAAAGAATATCTCACCAACCACCCGCTCCGCTTCTCCACGGAACCCCGCCGGTCCCCGGTGATTTGTGTTGGTGACTGGGAGTTCCAACACAAGGAGGAAGTGTTCGCGAACGAAATGGACTACTGGTGTCCTGCGGTAGTGATCGGAGCTCGTGGATCGGAAGTCGTCTGTAAGACCTTGGAGACTGGCAAAGAAGACCTGGTTAATCGACGTCCAGAAACGATAATTCGCGCGGCCGACTATTTAGAATACTACGAGCCCATCCTTCACGGGAGTCGTGGCTTCCATGAAGAGGCCACGTATATCAAAATGAAGGATGCCCAGCATATCATCCTCGTGGCGGGCATAAAACGTCAAGTTCAGTTCAGTGAGATTCTACTGAAACATACGCAGACAACAGCATGGATAAGCACTATGGAGAAGGATAACAGGAAGGTTCACATCGTTCCCATGCGGAAGCGTATAGATTGAGTTGCGCTGGAATGGTTTGAAGCGATTACTAGTTAACGGTAGTGTCACCTAGTCTGTTGTATGTTCACCGGAAACTGACTACAATGGCCTGCTGATTCATTGCGGTATCATTACGTTTTGTTAAGTAATTCTAGTAATATGGATTTTTTATAATTACGAAGCTACGGATTCTGACGCAATTTCAGAATTATTTCAGAATGAATGAATTTCTGACGCAAGTTTTATCTTACGACATACCTTAGCTCTTCACCTGGTGATAAGGTAGAAAATAAAAGATCAGAAAGGTCACACAGAAGAAGTGCATCATTTATGTGTAATAATATTATATTAACTGCACATTTACCTTTCTATTACTAGGCGGCAAGCACTGCATCCATATTCAAAATAGCATCACAAACGTTAGAATAGTACTTACATGTGTGATGTACTTAGAATGATTGTAAAATTCACTGACCACCTCGCATTGCCACCTACAAAGGGAAAGTTTCATGCGCAAGTGCACCACCGCGGAATGTTACGGTAACTGCCCTCTGGCGCCGCCTCAAACAAAAGAAGAGTGAGGCTACGAGCCGGATAGGTAGAATAATACGTTTAGAAGTACAGATAATTCCTTGGATTATGGTTGCTCTTGATTCATTTGACTGATTGATTATTGACGAGTAGCCAAGATGAATAAAGGACAGGCAGAGATAGAATGTTCAGACTTCAGCCTGGCTACGGCTAAACCCGTAAATAAGCGCTCTCACGCCGCACGTATACTTTTTACGTGGATGAACTTTAAATATTCTAGGCTACTCGTAGTCAAGGTACCATTTACTCAAGCTCCAGTAACACGTACGCGAGAAAAGCCGCTGCCATCAGCTGAGAAATGCATGCTGAACTACGGTTGTTCACGGTTTTTTTTAGCAAGTGTGCTTGTGCACGGTAACTTTATTTTAAAACGTCCCTCTTGTGTTGAGGGTATACTTCGATATGTCACATGTTCCGGCTCCCCTTGCAAATCGGCTACACGTCTCGGCTCCCGGTTAAATGAAAATGATCTTTATCTAGATTTACCGGCTAACATACACACAGCTTCAGCTAACACACACAGCTGTGTGTGTGTGTGTGTGTGCTAGCGGCACATACTCTCATTTAGGTGGGAGCCGAGACGTGTAGCCGATTTCCAAGGGGAGCCGGAACGTGTGGCATATCGAAGTACGAACAGTGTAACTCCTTCCGTTGGTACTTACTTGCGCTGCGCATCCTGTTTGCCGCGTACCAAGTTTCCTAACCGAGTTGTCGCGATGTTCGTCTACGGAGACGAGATGCACCAGGTGTTCGCTTGGAATGCCGTGGATGTCCTGGTCGAGGGAGGCATGCTGCAGCGCGGCGCCGTTATCAACGTAGCGGACGGGGGCCTGCTCATTGATTTTCGATGTGCGGGACAGCGAGCGCAGTTGATCGAGTACGGACGCATTTTGCGCTGCAGTCCCGAGTTCGCATGGTTCGCGGTGTGGGAACCCAAGCCGTTGCAGGTCCTGCTGCGCCGTTTGGCAGACGGTGCGTGGATCTGGTATCCGGGCCAGTCGGTCTCCCAGGGAGAACTGTTTTTGCAACACGCGGAACGTGTGGAGGTGCAGCTGCCCCACGGCACCGTCAGCGAACTGGTCCCTAGCGACCAAGTGCGCCCACCGCCCACGGATGCCGACCTCCAAGAGTGGCGGGTGAAGGAAGATAATTTCGTCGTTCGCAGATGCCCGCTGCCGACCTTCTACTGGTCCGAGGCGTCCGGCTCGCTGCGGGAGATCTTCCAGTACGAAGTGAACCAACGTTTCAGAGTGCTGTGCACCGCTCTGCTTAGTCAATCGTTCACCTATCTGCAGTGGCACCAGGCCACTCCTTTGAAGCCAGAACAAGTGGTACGTTACTTAGTCAACGTGGTTCACTGTTCTCATTTGCCTCCGGCCAAAGCTTAAAAAAACTTCGCTACAGTAGGCTTCAGTGAAAATAATTCGAAAAAAGGGTGGATCACTCGTTTGTGCCAAGTGATACATGAAAATAATCACTGAAACGGGCATAAATGTATTACATATTTAGTATTTTTGTGATTCTGCTGTAATAATTTTACGGTTATGGATTTTTGGTGTGGCAGGAAAAGCATTACAACCTTGTGAGGAAAAAGGATGAGGAGATGGATCGGACATCCCCAGCATGGAAATGGTTGCTCCGCCAGCGCGGAACGGCTAACACACAAAAGCGGAAGCTCCCTGGCAGTCGGCACAGCAGCATGCCATTGCCAACGGAACTGCTGGTGGAGATCTACCAGTCTCTGGACTCCGTCGAGCGCGTCCGCTGTCGGCTTGTCTGTCCCCTGTGGAACAGTGTTTTCGCCAGAGAAGCCGACTTCCCTTATGTGCGCGTCTCCTGCAATGTCGCGAATTATTGTTTCGTGCCGGATCATGTGCATACTCGGTTGTACTGGATGACTGTCTGCTTGCTGAAATGTCTTAACAGCACCACCAAAATGGCGGTCTTAAGCGACTTCGACTGGTGCGAAGGCTTCGAATTCCTGGAACTTGTCTACGGCATCCTCGATGAGACCAGCCTATCGGCGGTGCAGTTCTACAAGGGCCATTTCGTGGAAGAAAAGGACCATGTGGGCGATGTGGTACGCTGTCTGGCCTATTTCGAGGTCGAGCCGGATGCGTCGCGCGGGCGCATTGTGTGGCGCCAGTGTTACATCGGGGATCGGAACATCACGGCCCGCGTCGTGCACCATTCGTTCACCGGCCAGACGGAAGAGGAGCGTGAAGCGGAGCTGTGGGATCTCGTGGAGAAGAATCTCGTCCTCACGAAGCCGCTGGACCGGCCAGCCGTGGTGCAATGGATTGCCGAAGGCATTGCGCAACAGCGAGAGAAGCGCCTGGAAACGATTAAAGTGGTTCAGCATTCTGTGGCGCAGGAGAAGAGAACTGAGCCGGAAATGCTTGCATGTGTATACGTTCCACGAATTGCGATTTGATTTGAAACAACTCAATCTTGCGCTCATTTACGGCCAAAAGATTTTGGGTGTTTAATATGCATGCAACGTTCCGCTGGGAAGATAATGCATCTGGGCATGAACTACGATCGTGTACGAAAGTAGTTCACCCAGATGCATTACCTTTCCAGCGGAACGTTCCACGTGGAACGTTGAAAGCCGCACCGCTACGCCCAAACGCTTGTTGAGAAGTGATTTTATTAAAAATTTAAACACAAGCGTAAGCGATTACAGCAATTGAATTTTCAACAAACCGGAGTGCCGCCATTTGTATTACGCGAAGAGGAAAACTGTATTTCACTCATTAAAAAAAACAAATTTTGTGATAATAGTGTATTCATTCATTATTTATTTTAAGAAGATCGTCCGCGGTTCGTAAAAAGAGTGTTTGTGCAACAGTTTGGCATTTGAGTGTACGGTACTATTGTTTTGCCAGCCGTATATGTTTTCACGCTAATGTATAAAACTCTTCGGGCTACAGAATGCAGATTGCAGGGATATATACAGTACTGTAAAAACGTGTTAAGGGGCGGCTGGAAAATTTTAGCACACAGACCTTAATTTGAATATGTATCATGTGTGCGCCATTATTTGAGTAGTATAAGCCGTAATCGATAGATGTGTTGCAGATTCTGAACCACTATCAGTCGGCAGATTTGCGCTCGTCCACTCCGTACCGCTACAGGAAGTGGACGCCGGCTACCCTCTGCGAACTGGACGCCAGCCAACTGACCCCGTTAACGGCGGCGGTGTTGAGCGAAAGCATTGATCCAGGCGAATTGTCTTGCTAACTGTGATGCACTTGTACAAGCCGGGTTGGAGATTTTCTTTACATTGTATTCCTATCCTTGTGTGGTTAAGGGTGTTTGCCATTAAAAATATATTATAGAATAGGATTATATATGTCTGCTCCTACACAGTTAAATCGAAGGGGTTGAGTTTTCTTTTTTGTCTGTTTTGTAGGCGCACCGATTACGTCAGCGTGTTTTATAAAGGTCAGAAAATACTTGCGATAACGGCGTGCGTAATGAAGCTAAACCAAATCACAGAATACGTCGGAGGCCACGTCGTGCACTAGTAAACTGACACTCCATCTGTAGTTAGAAAAAAAGCGGAAAGGATTTTCGACACTTTAATAGGCCTTATGTTTGGAGGGCCTGTTATACCGTTTTGATTGCTGTACTCAAACGAGAAGGGTTACCAGCGCGGAGTTAAGTTGATTAGTGTGTATTAGCTGCTTTTGTAGACTGTAATGAATGGGTAAACGGAAATGTGAGCAACGTGGCTGTAGTAGATCTCTGTGGTTACTGAAAGAAAAGTCTTTCCTTATAAAAACAACAACTGTCACAATTGAGATATACACGCGCTAGGCGTTGTTACCCTTTAATTGGCTAACTTCATTGTGTATCTTTAAGGGTGCTTTTAATTGAAAATAAATACTTTTACATTTTCCTGTTAGTTGGCAGTAGCTTCCAGAAATTAGTTATCAAGAAGATTTACAGAGCAGAAAATTCCGGTGATTGTGCCGCGTAATTTGGGATACCTTGCATTAATACGCCGCTAACAATGGTTCTGGCAGTCCTTTCTGTTTACAAGAGTTCATTATGCTCTACTCCGTTACCATGTTCCGGGTAAATGCCGGTCTCGCTCACATCGCGGCTTCCCCCAGATGTTCTACTTCCGGTACTCATATTAAGATGCCAAGAGAGTCATAATCTTACTGTAATAAGAAAGTTTAATGCTAACCCTATCAATAGTTTCTGTGTTATCAGACATACTTATGCGTTCTGGCTGAGTGAGTCACGAAAAAACTGATGTGGTAGATACTTCTGCATAACGTTTCACAAAAGTCACGTTCCATGCGGACATGCTAACGTGCACACACTAGTACTTCTTTATCTGGACCAGATTAAACATTTGTGTTTTAACGACAAATTCATCGGCAGTACACAAAAAAAGTTACCCACAAGAAAATAAT